ATCGAATAACACGGGTGAAAATCGAATAGGTCAAATTATCGAATAGCACGGGTCAAAATCGAATAGTTCAAAAGATCGAATAACACAGGTCAAAATCAAATGCATCCAATTATCGAATAAAACGGGTCAAAATCGAGTGGATCCAATTATCGAATAAAACAGGTCAAAATCGAATAGATCCAGTTATCGAATAACACGGGTCGAAATTGAACGGATTCAATTATCCATGTTCATAAATCAAAAAGGTCCCTTCACTGGATGTGAACTTCATTAGACCATGATTATTTAACATCCACTGAAAGGACCTTGTTCATAATCGAAAAGGTCCTTTCACTGGATGTGAACTTCATTAGACCATGATTATTTAACATCCACTGAAAGGACCTTGTTCATAATCAAAAAGGTCCCTTCACTGGATGTGAACTTCATTAGACCATGATTATTTAACATCCACTGAAAGGACCTTCTATTAGTCGAAAAAGAATTTTGTATCTTAATCTTGTTGTATCGGACTGAAATGGAGTTTGGAACTGCATTATGCTATACAATGAGTTTTTTAACCTTATAATACCGACTCTACGGTTTATGATTTTTCAAACTAAAAGTTGTTTAAAAGATCAGTGGCCTCCAAATGAGTCTTAAACGTAAAGCATTCACGATACATATAATGACTACATCACGGGCGCAGAGGGACCCCCATAAAATACAGTAAATGTATGTAATTTGGTCTGTGAGGGGGCTGGGAAATGCACTCTACGCCCGGGATGTAGCCTTTTCTTCAAAACACAACCTTCAGTCAAAATCCAAGCCTGTAATACTTTATCATTCTAGTTGCTTGTATCATCAAGCAATCGTACACGAAGCTGAGGATAATAAGGATGGATTTCTAACCGTTACAGTCATCATGGGCGAAGCGAACAACAACAAGTTTGAGAGGACGTTTAATGACATTTTGTCTCGATAACATACATTTATGTCTGAAGTTAAATCGATGCTTGAAGTTTAAAAATATATTAGCATTTCGTAAAATAGTTGCGTTATCTCAACTTGGAGTATTTTTTACCTAAACTTCCCTTTACCTGTCCTAGGCTATCGCTAATTAAAACCTTAACTAGGAGTATGGCTTGGTTGAAATATAAGTATCCATAGGGGGTGAATACCGCTATCCCACCCTCTATTCCCAAATGAAAAGAAAATATATCCGATATATAACATTGCATTGTGCGCTTAGAGTGAACGGTATTTCTTTCTGAGATTATTAGCCGTACGTTCGAACTAGAGTTGCGCAATAATCGTTTCGAGGCGATTCAGTGTGGAATTTCCTTGCGTCACTGAGAATAACGCACACTGGAGCCTTGCTTGACGATTTTATTTGCGTCCCTGTCGTGAAAGCCAGACTTCAGTGTGTCCCATTATAGATGAGGAGGAGTGGCGCTATGATATGTATTACTATGTATATATATGGCCATGTATGGCTTTGTATGGCTATTTATAATTATGTATGCCTATGTATGTGTGAGTATACCAATGTATGACTATTTACACAATAAAAAATATATATTWAAAAAAAAAGAATTTAACTAAGCTTATAGCTAAAGTCATTCAATAATAGATTAAAACTCAAAACTTGCATGACTTGTAGCACGTGCAGGAAGACCTTTCAATGCAGTTCTCGAGTTAACTTTTCGTTTAYATCTGCCTCTTTTGTATCTCATTGCCTTGCCATATCATAGATTGTCTCATTGACCTCGTTGGCTCGGTCCATACCATTGAATAGGACTCTTATTCTTTTCCAATTTTTCATAAAATTGCTTTTCTATTTGCGTTTGTTCTTCGCTGATATTAGTTTTAAGAAAATGCCCATAAGAATGATCCTGTAATGAAATATTTAGCGGACTCCCACGAACCTAGCCTCCTTTGCAGCCGTTCTTAGGGACGTCACGTAGCGTTGCGTGACGACCCTAAGAACGGCTGCAAAGGAGGCTACMACAAACCGGAACCCCAGAAATCTGGGGTAAAAAAATCGATTCTGTACCCTAGAAAGRAAAATGTATCAAATTAAAATCTATTAAGTTAAGGAGAATTGCTTGAACTTTTGAATACGTTGAATCGCTTAAAATTTCATTCAGTTGAGAAACTATCGAAAATTAAAATAATTTATTTTTTATTATGGTGGTCTTCCTGTGGTTTAGTGTTCAGCTTTCCACGGTCAAAAGACTTTCAGAACGAACGCCTGGAAGATGTTGTTGTCTAAGTGTACTTTTCTTACTAAAAAACTAGACAAATCATTTATCTTGCCAAAGCAAATCACAAGATGTCTTAGCAATCATATCCCGAGGAGATCGTTTCTTTATATGCCGGGAAATGACGAGAGAAAAGTTAAAAAAGCTGCAACTTTAACTGCAGATTGTGTTGTATTGGACTGTGAAGATGCAGTTGCCTTTAACAAAAAGGTCAAWTTTTTCAACATTTTGAATTATAAAGCTTCGTGATTATCCTAAATGTAATTAAAGCTTTTAAAACAAGCCATGCAATAGACAGTTTTTGAAAGCTGATGGTTTTCAACCATCCCCAAGAGAGATGGAGACAAATGCATGGTTGCAATGTTGGTGGTAGCTAATGAGAATGGATGTTCTGTTAAATACCATCAACATGGCCATGATAGTCTTATCTAATGCTCTTTGTTGTACTAGGAAGAAGCCAGAAACACAGTTTGTTGTCTTATGAGTGAGTTACAGTTTGGTAGAAGTGAGGTTTGTGCTCGTATTAATTCAATTAGCAGTGGATTAGCTGAAGAAGATCTAAAGGCAATCCTTACAGCAAAAGTACTTCCTCATACTGTTGTTGTACCAAAGGTTGACTCTCTGGAAGACATGAGATGGGTATGTGTCAATCAAGCAGCCAGTCATTCAGCAATTCAATCAGCCCACCCATCCAGCCATTTGTTAAATCATGCAACCATGCATCC